ATTAAAATACTCTCAAGTTTTCTTTTTGGGTGAGACAAGCAAAGGGAGAGTTGGGAACCTAGATTCTATTGTGCCTTCTCTGTCTTTTCATTTGAATCCTACCCCCTGCCCCCATCTCCTGCATTTCAGTTCCTACCTTTTATTTTATAATTAGTCAGCCCAATATGATGATGTTTCCCCTGGTAATATTTGATTACACTTCTTTTCACCTTTCCTGCTACTATCAGGAAGAGTGGCTTAAGTGAAAGGACATTTGCTTTTAGTATTTCACTTTTACCATGGTTAAGTAATGTCCCCATAATTTGTGTGCTTACCAAGTTCCACATCCTATAGGATGGCTTCATAAAGAGAATTTTTGTTTGGACCTTTTTTAGTTTTTTTAATTAGTAGAATTTTTATTCCATTTTCCTAAGTTTCATTTTTGGTCTTCTCCATGTAGACTGTTAGCATTTGTGTTTTCTTGATCTCCCTGAACTTTATATTTCCAAATTCAAATTATTGACACCTTTCATTAACATAACTCTCAGTTAACTTCTAAGAAGTTTCTAAATGAAACTGGATCTGACAGAAATTGATTCTTTAAAAGCAGATTTATGCTTCTATTTAAAATTTTCCTTTTATGGTGATTTTAAGTTCAAATCAATTTCAATAAATTTATTTGGTAAATATTAGTGATAAGTTATATTACTTTGTTAAAATGTGAATAAAGTTTATTCTACAGTCACTTCAGTAATTTGGTACTTTTATCTATAAACTTACAATTGTCTAGGTTTATATAATTTCTTTTTTATAAATATGTGCCACTTACTAAAAATGGCATTCTCCTTCACCATTTATGAAGTTTATATCTTTATTCAGATTTCTGGTTTTATGTATATTAACAGGTGATTATTCATGCATACGCTTCTTCCCTCCTGTTAGTCTCTTGGATGTGAGGGTATTACTATTTTCTAAATATTTAAATTGGTTTGAGTGTCAGTTAGCTAATTCCTGAGATGTATCTTATTCAAGCTTTCATATTTGTCTTCTCAAATATTTGTACATACTGATTTCACATATTTAGGTCTTTGATCTCTTGCAAGTTTGAGAGAAAGCCAGTACTTTTGCATTATAACTAAGAATCCAGAATGAAAGGATTATAGTATTTTGCTTATAAAAATTACCTTACTTGATGCTACTTAGATAGTATTTTCTTTATAAAATACATTTTTTTCTTTGGCAGTGATTTTAATTATGAATGTCCCCAGTTTAGGTCCTTAGTATAAAATGGCCTAATAATCTTATCTCACAGGTTGTTATGAGGTTTAACTGTACTGTTTGAAAAAGTTTTAATATATAAAGTGATTAAGTAAATGTATAACAGTATAGTTTTTACTGGACATATGTCTGAAAGTCTGTCTTGATGACTAATTTTTTGAGAGCTTTATAGAACAACTTTCTAAACTCATTGTTTATTTCTGCAATCTAGTGTATAGCTTAACATTGAGGTATTTAATACTTTTTTACCTTTTGTTTTGAGGTATTTCAAAAGTAGTGTTGGTTCTTGTATCATTCATTGTTATGTTTGTCCTCATTAGTTGATTGTTGTGTGTTAAACAGACATCCCTGGAGCTTATTCTCCACACTCTGTGAATCCACTCATTAATCACCAGTCACCTTTGGAGATGGGAAAATTACTTACCTGTATTTCTTTTTCTCAGAAAGCGTGCTCTGGAATGGATTCACAAATGAGCTACCTTCCTTCCCTCAAAGAGTAAGGTTTCTGCTTTACAGGATTTTTTTCTTGGGTTATTTTTCCTCTCATCTTTTGAATTTGAAAAGAACTGAGGGAAGGCACCTGAAGAAACTACTGACATACTCACTAGGGGAGTTCCAAAGCTTGTGCTGCCCCTAGGGGCAGTGTCAATGGCTCTTAAAGCTAGAAAGCTCATACTTGGAGTTGAAACAGGGGCTCAAAGAATCCATTTTCCCAGTGTACCTTCTGAAAGGATAAGTTTCAGGTAAGTAATTTTCTCTTACTATGTGATATGCTTTATTCATACTTATGAAAGTTCGCAAGTCCAGTTCTCCAGGTACATAGGCAACTGTATTTGTCAGTTTAGAGGCATAAGCTTTACTGAATGTTAGAAATAATGTAAAACAGTGTATGTCTGCTCATGAGGTACATGAAACCATATATATTTTAAATCAATATTTAAAGATGCATTTTTGAGCAGTATATTGTGCTAGTGTTGTCATTTCTTTTATTTCTTATTAAACAAAATCTTGATAAACTTTATTTTTTAATAATTAGAGACAAAGAAAAGAGCTTTTAATGCAAATTCAAAGTGTTGTTTAACTAAAGTTGTGTGTTTGTGCATGCACACACGTATGTTCATTCAGATGTACATATATACCTTTAGGCTAAGATGATGGCAGCTCTTTACTTCAGATTAGATGCTTTCTTTAAGTATATCAACCAGAATGAATTACTCAAGTAATTTTGAAATATTCGAATAGTTAGAAATATTATCATGAGACAGTTTGAACTGTCATAAGTAAGATATTTTTTCAGTTTAGTAGTTACATGAGTGTGGATTTAGCTTGTTAACTGATAAATTCTACAGAGCTTATCAAATATTTCTACTCAGTTCTTCATTTAAATGCCAAGTGACAACTAAAGAGTAGTAAAAAGTAGATAGTAAAATATTAAACACTTGCTTATTGATATTCTCTGTACTTTATCATTATTAAATCATGTTGATTTAGTATTTTAATATATTTTAAACATTCTGTGTACTATCTTACTTCAGAAGTAGTTTTGAAGTGAAAGTTACGTTGAAAATGGTTCATATGAACAAGGCAGCATTTTAAAATATAATTATACTTTTGACTTATGATTAAGGCAGTTTTGACCAACTTCACCTATTTGAAGCAGCAGCTTTGAACTTGAAAGTAAGCAGAAAAGACTTTTGAGTAGCAAATGTCTATCATAAAGTACATGAATTTTCTTTGTACTTGAGAGTAGCAGTCTTCAGATAAGACAATCATGTTCAGGTCACAGGGATTATTGACAACTAAAACTAACAGTTATCGCCAGAAGCAAGAAAAAGAGAATGTGTTAATATAAACTTGAAGCAGTTTAGGTTCAAAGAATATTCGTCTTGATTTCTTCCAAGGGTATTACTGTTACTCTAGTGTTAGTGAGTTAGAATTGTCTAGTCTAAGATTAGTTTTTTAATTGTTTACTCATTTTTACAAAAGATTTTGGAACTTTGAAATAGAAGTAGAAATCTAGTGCCATTGAGTTGAATCACTAAGTTATTGTGACAAACTTTAGATTTGGCTTTGAGCTTTCTGATAGCCATCTGGCGAATAGGAAAAATAGGGTGAATTATATAGTTCTCATTGTTAGATAGAAGGAAGTACATACATTCTTTAAAGAAAAGCAAAGCTATACCTAACTCAAAATTTTGAAGGAAATGTCTAATGAGTTATTTAATGTAGGGACATTGAGTGATGAATTGTCAGTGTTTTAAGAATGTTTTTAGTGCAACGACTGTAATGGATTATATAGTTATGGCAACATGCAGTAATCTTCAGTGTTTACAAAAAAAGATTGTTATATTCAGAATGCAGATAATTGTCTCAGAACCCTATGGCTTGATTTTGGGATATCATGAATTGTAAGATGCAATATTGATTTAGAAATGGCTCTTAGGGGAAAATAAGAACTGCCACATTGAGTAGTTGTACATGTTAATGTATGTGAAAAGTTAATATGTGAAAGTTAAAGGAATATGGCATATTGTAGAAAGGTGACCATCAAAGATGATCAACGTCAACAAGTTAAAGAAATGTTAAGAACTGCGATGTGTGGTTTTTCTGAAAAATGACATCAAAAGAGTTTTATAATTTTGCATGGCTGATTATTTATAAGACTTTTTTAGTAAGATAAACAGAAAACTTAAAAATCATAATTATCCAGCCAAGGAAACCCATCTCCTCAGATGCAAGGATAATAATTGGATATGAGAACTTTGCTCTGAAACTGAAGCACAAGGCACATAGTGTGTGTGTGTACATGATTAGGCTACTCTAATACCTTTACAGTTGCATTTCGGTGAATCTTTAAAAATAAGGGACATAAAAGTAATGATGGAAAATAGGTTTAGATATATCTGAAATGTAACATAATCAGTTGAGTAATAACCTGCAATTAATTATGAATATGTTTCACTTCTGGCTTTCATATGACTATAGTAGGAAGCAGAATTTATCACCTGAGCCTTTGGTTTTCTGCCTTCTTTTTAAACTTTTTCTATTTAACCCTTTCTGTCCTTTGGAGAATACCTAACGTTGAATGTTATGTGCTTATACCCTTCCTTGTTGAGATTTTATTGTCAGAGTAGGACTATTTGTTATATTTACAATTTGTGTATCCTACTTAAAGGAACTTGCATTGATCCTTTTCCAAGTAGAAAGTTTTGCAAAAATCAGAAATTTTTTTGTCGAGGTCATAACCATCACACAAACTACATATGCATGTATCTCTGACCTACATTCTTTTTTTCGGTAATAGAGATCAAATCTTTGCATTTGTGCAGCAAAAGCTAAGCTTTCATTGATTTGTTACATTGAGATAGTTTCTTTGGGCCAAATTTTCTTGAATCATATTCTTTGGGTTTACTTTCCATTATAGACTGATATAATATGTTTAACAATGCTTCTAACTTTTAAGCTGTTTTGTTTCCTTAGTGTTTTGTATTGCTCGTGACTTTAAGGTTTTACAGTTTGAAATAGTTTTTAACATCATAAAACACTGGTGCTGTATCATTTCTTTACTACCTTCCCAAATATGCCTTTTATTTTTATGTACAAGGGCTCTTGGGAATGATTCTCTCAGAGGCTTAAGCTGGGCTTTGCCTTCGATGAGAACTGAAATTATTTGGTAAGCGCTTGCTTTCTTTTTAGCTTCTAATTTTTCCCTATTTTATTTTGTACATGATATTTGTTTCAAGGTCAAAGGTTCCGTTACAGTTACTATGATGAATCCCAGGGGGAGATTTATAGATCCATTGAACATCTAGATAAAATGGTAAGTCCTTCAGGTGTGGGGTTTTAATGCTGTAAGATTTTTTTCTTTAACTTCAGATTAGTGATTCAAGACTTAATATGTTGAAATATACAATGGGCTAATAATTATTTCCCTATCTTTAACTAAATGTGCAAAATAAATTTTGTAATCATGTGAATATTGATTGTAAAAATAATCCCTGTTCAATTAGTAGCAACTTCCTTCAGCTTAATTTTATTTGATTAATTATACTTTGAATAATTAGATATAGATTTTAGGTATTATTTGGGCGAGTGTCTCAATTTTAGGGATAGCAGGGTACTAGTGCTGTTATTTATTGTTAAGCAGAAACAACTGTAGCAAATTCTTAGTTTATTTTATAATCTAATTCTATTTTTTGGCCATTTAGATTTTTCTTAAATGGAACTTGAGTTTGTTTTAAATACAGAATTTGAAAATATGATTATATTTTTATCTAGCCCAGGAGTACAGTAGCCATTGATCTTGTTGAATTTTCCTTCAGGTAGTATCGGAGTCATAGTACTTGTTTTAATATTTATTATTTAATGTTCCAAGTAATATTTAATATTTAAGTCATAGAAATCATTTTGGCATTTACTCATAAACAGAGTATTAGATCTAGCACCTTCAAAAGATCATTTCCATTTTGTAGTCAGTTTGCCATCTCTAAAATGAGAGACTTGGTCTCTAAACTGTCTTTAAACTCTATCAGCCTGTAAGTCTGTGATCTGTTAAAATCAACTTTACTAGTGTGTAAAAAGCCTTATGTATATCTTTTAGTACAAGAATATTTAGTCTAAAGTAGATACAATGTTTTAGTAAGTAAGGAATTGGATTTGAAACTATAGGTAGATTATGTTGAGTAATATATTTTATTAAAAGCCAAATGGAGTAAATGCAAATTTAGTTACCTCAGAGATTTTATCATATTTAAATTTGTCTTGTTACTTAAAATTCAATTATGGCCTAATACTTTAACCTTTGGAATTTTGTTTGGATTTTAATTCACTGACTTTTCCTAAAGCTTTATTATGTTGTCATTCTAGTTAGGTGATTCTTTTCTGGCTACTATTTCTAATTTATTTTTCTGAGGTTTATTTCTCAGTTGCCTCAGAAAACTTTTCTGTTTCTATATCATTTATTTTCTTCATATGGCAAATGGTTAATGAATGTCTACTGTGTGTCTGGCACTATGTGAAGTGTTGAAACTGCTAGAAGAGAAAACATGCTCTCTGATTTAATGGATTTTACAGTCTAGTTATCGAACAGACTTAGAAAGAAGCTACTGAAATACAAGAGATGTCAGAGGTTTAGGAGGCATCGTGGACACACTGGCATCCTTACTGATAATGCGTAGATGTGCCTAGCTTAGGGCTTTTGTCCTTTTTTACATTTTTGACTGTCTCACTTTATGACTTTGCTCAGTTTTCATATTCCCAGTGAGACCTACTGACGACCCAATTTAATTTTACATCCTACACTCCACCCTTTTGGCATTCCCAATCCTCCTTACGATGTTCCACTTTATTTTTTACATAAGGATATTTGTTTTGTTCACTAATATATCCAAAGTGCTTAAAATAGCAATTGGAATCTAAGTAGGTGCTCAAAAAATACTTTTCAAATTAATGAACTAGTGAATATAATCTTCCTACATACATAATTGAATTAAATGAATACACAGATTGTAATCTGAGAAAGAAACAAAAGGAAACTAATTTATAATAAATTAATATGTGTTTAATAGTGTAAATACCTAGGCACCAAGTATTAGAAGAGACAATGAAGCAGTTGATGCTTATGTATAGTGTCATTAACATAACAGCTGCATACAAACTTAAACAGCTGTTTAACATTTATTACTCACATCACATCAAGTTACATTGCTGGGTAACTTGATTTTCCAAAATGGTGAACAATTTTATTAGTAAAGTTGTAAACTAAACAAAGTACAGTCTTCCCTTTCTTTATGTGATAGTTCTTTTCCCAGGAAATCTACTGTATATTAAAATCATGCAAAACTTCTTTGTGTTTGTATGTAAAATGGAGTTAGGGTGTAGGTAACTGTAAGCAGGTTTTTCACATACATGGACATGTGAAAATGTTATGGGAAGAAAACAGTTCTTTGTGTGGGACTATCCCTGGACCCCACTCACTAAATCCCTGAACAGTATCTTCTGATTATTGGGACAACTCAGAAATGTGCCCACAGTTTTTTCCATTACACCCCTGTGGTGAATAGTTATTCTATGACTTTCCCTAGTTTATTTTTTTTTTCTTAGTACTTACTACCATGTGACTTACTATTTGTTGATTTGTTGATGATAACGTCCCTGACTAGACGGTAAGCCTGTCAGTGGTGCTCGGTGTACATATTTATTGAATCAGTGGATGAATGGATGGGGCAGTGGTGAGAAATGAGGCTAGAGAATCTAGAACAGGCTGGTTAAAGGATATTAAATAAGAAAGGATAAAATCAGATTGTATTTGAGTAGATTATAGAGGTGCAGTGCAGCAAATAGTTTGGAGGAAGGCCAGAGGGAAAATGAGTAGACCAGTTTGCTGATCCAGATGAGAAATGGTAATTTAGACAATGGATGGGGTGGTGATGGTCAAAGAGAGGAACAGAGTGGATGTATCCAGTATATTTTAGAGACAAATTGATGACAGGACTTGGTGATCGATTGAACTTGGAGGGGGAGAAAGTATCAAGGACGGTTTCTAAATATCTGGCTTAGGCTGCTGGTTGGTTTTTGGTTGTGTTCACTTAGATTGGAAGCACAAGATAGGGCTAGATTTTTAGGAAGTAGGGAGATCATAAATCATATTAAGGGCATATTATATTTGCTGTTGCCTTAAAGGAGTTCAAGTGGAAATGTCAGCCAGGTAGGCATTTGGATTTTCATTTCACCAGTTATTTTTAAACATACAGTTATAGTCCTAGGCACTGGTAGAGATATGGCAGTAAATAAACCGACTTGCTTGCATAGAAATTTTGTTCTAACAGGAGGAGATACACTTTTCTTTTTTTAAGTGAAGAATATAGTATAAAAGTTAGTTTCTAATAGTGATGTGTGCTGTGCAGAAAATAATAAAAGGGTTTTTTGAAATAGTAAATAATTCTAGTCTGCTTTAGACTGAGTGATTGGAGAAAGACTTTCTGAGGAAGAATATTAAACTGAGATGTAAATGTAAGAAGGAGCAAATCAAATAAAGATCAGAGGGAAGAGCATTCTAGACAGAATGAACTGCCATTGCAAAAACCTCATGAGGGGAAAGAGACTGGTGTGTTAGAAGAAAGAAAAAAATGCAAGTGTTGTAGGAGTATAGTAGATAGGGGTAAGAGTGATATACATCTGTGGTAAGAGAAGCAGGCAGGGGTCAGATAATGTAGGGCTTTATGTTCCAGGGTAAGACATTTATTTGAATACAGTGGGAAGTGAAATGATGTAACTTACATTATTTGAGAGGTCACTCTGGTGTTTGTGTACAGAATGGATTTTAAAAGAGGGTCAGGAATAGTAACAGTGGGCATTGGCAGGACTTTGAGGGGAGAGATGATAGTAATTTGAACTGGGGTGGTAATAGTGGAGATGGGAAGAAGTTCGTACATTTGAGATACTGTCGTCAACGGGAGTTTGCTAATGGGTTGACTATACTGGGTTTGGAGTTCAGAGAGTTAAGATTGGGAATTCTCAACACATAGATGGTAATCAAAGGCAGGGCAGAGATGAGATTATCTACTGTAGTAATCCTCAACCCCCTCCTTACAACTGAAAGCACCTGTGGATCTTTTTCAAAATAGACTTGCCCATACACACCCCTAGGACTCCCCTTTCGGTGACATGGAAAGAGTCCCAATAATTTTATTCCTAAAATAGGTGAGTTTGAACTGGCCTACTATGGCCTACTATGGCCCCTGATATGTTGTACAACAAAATTTCCTGTTAATCTTCTTTCCCTTTGTTTTCTCTTCAGCTCTTTAAATCATTTGTGAACTTTAATCGGGCAACATTTAATTTTGCAAATTTAAGAATTTGTAAGTCAGTGAATTGATGCTTTTAATACATTAGGAAATGTTTTCCCTGAAACTTTGGTTTACCTGGTACTCTGAAGTTACTGAACATACTAGCATCCTTTGGGCCTCGCTAGAATTATGGACACATTTAAATAATATTATATGGTATCCTGCGTATTATGTATAAACATCATACTTTAAATAATTCTTTAGCCTTTCTTCTAACTATGTTGTTAGGTTTTATTAAACCTTTATTTGTCTTTCTTGAGGTAAATGATCACTTGGAAGGATAGACTTTGGTTTTTACTTTGAGGGAGAGCAGAAAGAGTTAACATTTACCTGTTGGCATTGTTCTCATACTTTATGAAATTTTTGCCTTTTCTGCTCAATTCTAAGGCTTTGAAAGTAAGAATTTTTGTTCAAAAACTCTTAAGTAGAACCAATAAGCTTTAGATTGGCTTCTAAATCTGCATCTGATTTACCTCACTTTAGATGTCCAAAAATACCAGAGCTTGACTTTAAAAATTGTATTTAAAAAGCTTGGAATTCAATTTTGGAATAAATACTGAGTATTTGTTATTTGTTTCATATTAATATGCTTGAATTTAATATGTGGTATAACATTTGACTTAGACTTGATTTTTGAGGTCCATTTATTGAAAAATTTCTGTTTATATATATAGAATTTTTAAATGACTCCGAAGTGTTCTGTCCTTTTGTTAGCATGCTGTTAATTCAAGTTATAAGTCAGTTCTGGGAGTTAGAATAAATGGATTAAAATAATAAGAATGGTTAGCTCTGTACATATACTCATGTATGTATGATTTTATACATATATCTATGTATGTATGCTCACTGTTAGGCAGACTCTTATACAATGTGTTTTTTTGATTGGTTTATATAACCTAATGGTGAATAACCCACTGTATATTCCTTTTCTAAGATGTCATTTTATGTTGTGAATAATTTCTTTCACTTCAGAATTAATATCTTAGTTTCTATATGCAATCTTTTCAAAGCAAAATATAGTAGGATGCTTTTCTGTACAAGTATTACAAAAATGTTAGCAATTCTGAATTGTAATAATTACACATTTGGAAAGTTTTATAGAGTGAAAAGATTAATTTTAAGTATAAAATTTTAGATTTAATTTTTTCAATTGTGTTGTTTTGATCCTTTTTTGATAGCAGAAAAGTCTCATTAAATGTAGTTATTAAAATGCTAGAGAAAAATGTTTTTAGGTTCCAAAAGCAAAAGAAAAATTACTAATTTTTTTTTTGAAAAATTTTTGTATCTGTAGCACTTGAATATCAATTATGTGAAAAACCACATAAGGAAAGAAAAATACATAGGAAAAGAAACTGGGTGTTCCAAGTATTGTAGTTGGGGAGAAAAAGTAACTACTTATAGGAGATGTAGATTCTGAAAGTCTTACTGTGAACCTTTTAAATGACATACTGAAAACAATAGCCATATTAAACATATTTTATATACATTATATGATCTTAGGTTATTTTTCCTGTACCACTTTCAATATAGATCAGTGTTTCCTTGTAGACATTGGCATATTATGTATGATTTGGCAGACAGAATCTGAAAATTTCATTGTAGTCATGTTTGTGACTTCTTTTGCTTCCAAATTTATTAGTAGGCACTTCATTTACCTTGAACTTCAACTAATTTTCTTTTATTCTTTTGAAGGTGAAATTGTTCGTATTTGTCCATTTGTACTTCTTTTTCTTGAACTTAGGCCAGTAGTTTCTTTAGTGGTCTTCAGTAGGTTTCACAACATTAAGATAGCTATTTATTAGTACATTGATTCTTAGCATTGCTAGGGTGACTTTTTTTCCCATAAAATTTTTTCATTGTAAGACTTTATCTTGATGCCTCTTAAAGAAACTAGAGTATTTCCTTTTCCTTCCTCATCTCCCTAACTGTCTACTTGTCTCTCCAATATAAATGTATACCCTTACTTTAGAAAACGAGGCCACAGTCCTAATGATTTGATACTATTATGTATGTGTTCATAATTAAAAGACGTAATTCTAGTTCTTATTTCTCAAAGGCTTCTAAAAATGTTTCACTATTCTTTTGTGTTTGTTACTTTAGAGGGAGGTTACTTCTAGGTAATAGTATTTAAAATTAAATAAAATTTAAATAAATAATTTATTACATGTTTATAAAGTTTTAAAAAGAGAAGACCTTTGTTGTCTTATTAGAGTCCTGAATTTGCAGCTCTGCCAGTTAAAACTGCCTGTTCAGTTTAGGATTGTCACTTAGGATTTGACATTACGAGCTTTCACCCATTACTTGGAGAGTCAGCACAAAGATAGATTCCTTCCGCCCTCGTTCTCCTCAAGGTAGGGAGTTAGCTTTCAGTCTGCGGATTTCATGCTGAAGCTGTTAAATTTTTCGGAAACCCAGATTGTGATGGATAGGCTTTTGGTGTTTATAACGTCTGCTTTGTATCTTAGAGGTGAATGGATAGTGATTGACCCACTTCACTGCTTCATATTAAGTGAAATTGATGTGAACAAATTCTCTGTATACCAAGCCCTAGGCAAGCTTTCCGTCCCCTGGACTGTAGATTTACTGATCATATCTTCCAGTGTTTTAAGGAATAGAAAAGTTATTTAGACGTATTTGGGAAGCACTTTATTTTTCATCTTCTTAGAATTTTGGCAGTAGTACAAAACTAGCATTTTCATCTTCTTGGAATTTTGATAATATAATTTCAAAATAGCATGAAAACATAAATATATACAAAAGCATATTTGCTAGTGTTCTGTATTAGTTAATGAATGTTTCATTTTCCAGTTTTACTGATCATTATTGCTGCTACTGGCATACTTCATGAATTTTCCAGTTGGAGAGTTTCACTCATGAGAAGCACCTTAATTTTTCCTCTCAGTCCCTCCTATATAAAAAGGCATATCTCTTAACTATCACATTTGTCAGAGAATTGAGTATAATGGAATTGATTCTTGCCCTGGTAGGTACATAACACACTTGAGGGAATTAAAGTTTTAAATTTAATCCCTTAACTTCCATCACCTCAGGTTTTAATTTTCCATGTTGTAATTTAACCATCAAATTTCATTTGGAACACTTTATTTAGTAGTGTCTTCTGTACATTTTTAACATTATATTTTCTGTATGAAATTTCTTGGCCAGTTTGAATTTTTTGTCTTCTACAAATGTGATCATTTGTTTTCTTCTCTTTGAATTACTCATGTCAGTATATAAATGTGATAAGCTTATTCACAATGTGCTTTGAGATTTTAATATTAAAAAATACATTGGAACCTCATTGTTACATAATTTATTAATGAGTGGCATTCTATGTAAGATAAGCTGTCTTAGACTTCATCTAGGAGCATTAAAACTTTCTTATACTATGTATACTAATTGTAGCTATTGAAAATATTTAAGAATTTTTAGTATGTCCCTTGTTACACTATATGAAGCAGAGTAAGACAATGAGAAGGAGCCTAGGACTAGAAATTTAGAGACAAGCTTTTAACCTTTTTCATGCCTTAGTTTCTTCATCTTTAAGGAGTTATACCTTGATTTTCCATAGTTATGGAAGAGATTTGTAACTCCATATCTGCATTACTCCTTGATTTAGAAATAATATTGAGTGATTTTCTTTTTATCAGAATTATGATACTAATTGTTTATCTTAGGTTTAACTTTTGAATTAGTTCATATTTCTGTGAATTTGTACTGAGTATCAGTATATAGTGTTGACCTGGATGCCTCCTAATTGGCAAGGGAAAACCAACTTAGCATTAAACACTTGATTGTGGATAAATATGAGAGTAGCTAATTGATGTGCAAGCAGTTGCGAGTTGACTATACACACATGTGCTTATCTTTTAGATATTTTGTAGAAAAAAATGTAATGTTTGTGAAGGACTTGGGTGTTCTGAAAAAAGTTTCTTTATAAAATTAAATTTTGATGCTGCAACTGTACTATTTGTACTGTCACCTACTGATTGCTGTTATTTTTCAGATGAGTGTTCATCTGAAAACTGTAGGTGCTTTTGTACCATGCTTGTTAAAACATGTTGAAATAGAATTTTAAAATACACACAAAATATATCAGTTAATTCCATAGTTAAACTACCATTTACATTTCTCCCAAAGGATATTAATCCAGTTTATTGAACACAAATGTAAGGTATTTTACCTGAATAAGAAAACAAGGTAAGATAGTTGGTGAATGACTGAGTTAGAATCACTGATTTATTTGCTTGATTTGGATGAGTTATAGTTGCTCTATATTAATGTATTATGAATACATTATTTGAATGCATTTGTGGAGTACAGAGTTAAGTGTAAAAAGTGTCCAGGTCATAGTGGTTGTTTTAATAGTACTCTAAACATTTTGATTGTCAATTAAAATCTTGAAAATAAAGCATTCTAGTTTAAAAGGATAAAAAGCCTTTCTTTTTTAAACTTGTTTGTAAAGACCTATTTTGTTTAAGCTTTATCAGTCTTTTATGAGCTTAAGGCTGATTAAAAATACATTCTTTTCTTAGTTTGTGGTATCTTTTTATCACATACCTCAATAATTACTGGAAATTCAAAATGCCTTGCAAACTGTTGCTATTTAAGTATATGTTATGGAAATAGTTAAATTGTAATCAACTCTTCATTATTTATGCCATTGGTAGGAGAAATATAGTGGATATGGGGAAAACAGCCATATATCAAACTTAATTTTAGATTTTGTATGAAAATTTTCACAAGTTTACTGTTGTAAATACACGCACAGACATACACATGCACTCACACATGCATACATGTAAGAAAAGTATGAAGTCCTGAAATGTTTGAGGATTGTGAGCTAAGTGACAGCTGTGGAAAGTGGTACAGAAACATACCAGGAGGTCAGAGGAAACTAAACTAGGTATTAAACGTTTCTGTTTATAAAGTATATATATTATTGAGAGCTGATTATAATGAGATTACTTTTGATTAATGAGTTTGATATTTCACAAAGTTTAATGTATTTTTTTCCTTCTCCTTAATTGAAAGATTATGATCATTAGCTGTAAGTAATAGTTTTAAAATGTAATTAGGAAATAATAAATTGTCCTTTTTTCTTTTTCTTTCATTTTCTTTCTCTCTCTCTCTCTCTCTCTTTTTTTTTTTTTTAGGGTATGAGTATTATAGAACAATTAGACCCTGTATCTTTTAGCAATTATTTGAAGAAATACCATAATACTATATGTGGAAGACATCCCATTGGGGTGTTGTTAAATGTAAGTATCCTTAGGAAGCCTTAATTTTTAATATTGGATCCTGTGATGTTTCAAAATATCATAATTGTTATCATCTGTGTTACCTTATTAGCACTGGTTTTAAGTATATATGGTCAGTTTTCTTTCTAATACCTTTAAGATAATTTAAATTTCTATTGTCTTGGTTACTTAAATACAGTTGCTTATCACTGTAAAACAAGCCAGTACTTTCTTTTAAATAAAGAAAGTTATTTAGAAGTCCATTTTTTTCTCTTGACTCTCATCCAATTCCAGTATGCTCTTTACAAATATAAACCATAGTAACCTTTTAAGAGATATGGTCTTACTAGTTTTTTGGTTTTATTTAATGTTCTAGACTCTAAAAAATAAGTGGAAGATTCTGCTCTTGAATTTTGTAAATTCATAATTTAGGCAAGACAGATGACATGTATATGTTTTTCTCCTTACAACAAAAACAATAATATTTTATTAAAAAACCCATAAAGGGGCAGAAGTTTTGGTTAACTGGATTTTTGAAAGAGGTAACATTAATTTCCCCCCCAATACAAAACCCAAAAATTGAAAGAAAATGTATCACTCATTAAAAAAGAAGAAAGTGTATACTCAGGGAAATAGGGGGAGGAAGTATTAATGGGCTCATTGTTTGGAGAGGCAGAGAAATAATAGAGATGGTAATGTAGTCTAACATAGTCTAGGGTAGGAACCTAAAGTGTCCAGTATTACTTGAATGCGATTTGAAATACAGTACATAGTGGATTTTTAGGAAATATTTTCTCTTAAGCAGTATTGACTGATTGGAAGAAAAACCTGTTAAGGACTCAAACTTATTTTTGAAATTTAGAGTAAGCTATACAACTTTACTAAAGTTTGAACTGTATCAAATAAAATTTTTGTAAAATAAGTGATGAACCAGTTCATAAAGTAAAAATCCTGATATACCTCTTAGATTTGAAACTTAATTTATATGTGTTTCAAATTTAGTCAAAATCATGCAAAAAGAAGACTCCAACATCTCAAGACAGAAGATTTGGTTTAGAGAATAGAGAGAAAGATATTATATTTTTATTTTTAAATTTTATTTGTTGATTTATTAAAGTAGCCTTACTAAATTACAGGGAAAGGTAGAGTGGAAGATGACTCATATTTATCAAGAAGCTAGAGTAGGAGACGTTCTTTGAGAGAATGAAATAAAAAATTCTTTTTCCTATTTTATATGAGGTGACACGAAATTCAAGAAACAAAAGGAGACTGAGAGATCTAGGCTTCATCTGTGAAGTGGACAAAGTTAAGCAACCAGCACATTCAAAGAGTGCTCACTTTTTTATATGTTATCTGTCATAACCAAATTTTTCTTTTTTTAGGCTATCACAGAACTGCAGAAGAACGGAATGAATATGAGCTTTTCCTTTTTGAATTATGCCCAGTCAAGCCAGTGTAGAAACTGGCAAGACAGTTCAGTGAGTTATGCAGCTGGAGCACTCACGGTTCACTGAAGCTCTGAATCCTCAGGGATGCCACCTGCACATACTCATACTCTGTCCAGGGTCCCAGCCTAACCCTTACCAAGACACTGGTCCTGGTTTGGGAGGGATTCTGAAACCTCAAACTAATAGAACTTTCTTCTCTTCTTTTCTAGTAGGTGTAGTCCTTCCTTAATTTCAACTCATTAAAAAATGCTTTATAGTTTAGAGCAGTGGAAGGAAGGCTGGCATCAAAATATTTTGATCAAAAAAAACAAAAAAAGGCAATGTAAAGGCCCAGTTGTGGCAGTCAGTTTTTTGAAAGTAACTTGTAAAGCATTTACCATATTCTAAATTTGCACTCTTTGCAGACTTGTGCACATATATTCCGCTTTCAGAATAGTTTTGCAAATTGTACACAAACAAAAAGGGTGGAAGCTTTTTAATAAAGAAATTGCATTTATAAATGATCTGTATTAGAATATAATAAATCTCCAGTTATAGTCAATTACTACCCGTGTTGTACAACAGATACCTTCTATTTTAGTTGCTAATAAAGGGCTACACAACTCAAAATAGTCTGATTTAAACTTATTGCTCTGTGGTACATATGAAAATTGTTTTTTATTAATTCCATTTTAGAATTTTTATGTTAAAAGTGGTAAACTTAAGCTCTTATGTAAAAATGTTAGGATGTATTTTATAGTTTACATATTTATGTGATTTTTTTTATCACAGTTATTAGATTCATTTTAAAGTTAGCTTATAATATTACATAGTTTGCCTTTTTGTGTGTGACATCACTTTGTGTCATTACTACATTATAATACAATATAAATTCAAGATTGGTAAAAGAACATAGATGTACTTCTATAATTTAGAGATTGTGTTTGATAGGCAGTAGTCTGCAAATGAGGAAACATTAAAGAATATTCTTAGTGTTATTCAAATCATTGCAGACCATACACTGCTGCTATGCTTTTTTAGTGCTTCAAGCAATTTGACTCTCTTACTTGAATTTTTAGCAAGAAATCATTAACAACAAAAAAAACCCCACTGGATTTTCTTATAGTTCTACAATTTCTATAGTTCATGATTTTTGGTGCGGCTCTTCCAACTAAAATAATGGTATGGTGTTGTATTTCTTTCTTTAGCTTGGATCAATTCTAGGCATTTTTGTAAAAAAAACAGAACAAAAACAAAAGGTAATTCAGTTAGCTGATTATTGGCCATCATGTATGTACTAGATTATACCTATTTAATCTAACACTGGGTATTTATATTACATTGGAGAGCTTTTATATCTTCAGTGTTATGCCAGAATAGCACAATTTTTAGATGCCTTGCACCAAGTTTATTTAAAGAGTTACATTTCTTATTTACTAAATACCAACTTTCTATACTCAAGAATTGAGATAAAATAATGTAATCTTTTGGATTCAAAATTACCCACCTATACATGTGTGGAAATTATATTCTTATGTATTAGTGATTTATTTCCCATAATTCAGATATACTTTCGAGTACTGTAAATATTTATTCCTTATTTATTACATAGACTATAAAAATTTCAAAATTGACTACAGAGTGAATTTTTAATGTTTTCTGGATAGAAAACTAATACATGATTACTATAGAAAATTTAGATAATACCGAAAAGTATAAAGAAGAGAAAGAAAAATCTGCAATCTCACTATCCAGAGATAACACTGTTAATATTTTTTGTATTTTCTTTCAACTTTTGTCTATGCTGTTTATATGTATGAATGTGTATATGTGTTTGTGTGTGTGCATAATGACAATTGAGATTATACTGACCTTATAGTTGTATACCCTACTTTTATAACTTACCGTCATAAGTATTTCTCCATGTCTTTGAAAATGTGATTTTAAAAAAATGGCTGCCTAATATTCTATTGTATGAATATACTACAATTGAACCAGTTCTCTCTTTGGATATTAGATTGTTTCTAATATTTCATAATTATAAGTAATAGTGGGATGGACATCTTTGTATGTGAAATTTGAATTCTATATTAGACTAGTTCTTTAGGATATATTCATGGGAATGGGATAATTGGTTTAGGTGATGAGACTTTTTTAAGCTCCTTACAAAATGACCAAGTTACCCTTCAGAAAGATTGTACCAAATTAGCAATATATGAGTACTCATTATAATGCCCCGTCTCCACCACTGAGTATCATTTTTTCTAATCTTTGACAATTTGTTAAGCAAATAATTGGTTGTTCTTTTGATCATTCTAATAAGAGTGGCTTTACAATCAATTATTTTTTTCCCTTCTGTAATTTTATAGTTGATTGATTAATAAAAAAATACAAGAGGTTTGCTTAGGTTGAGGGAGGGCTGTAGCCCTCTGAGTATGTTTACTGTACATTTAAAACTAAAATATTTTGACATCACTCCACCCTTTCCTGGAGTTTGAACATATCTTTCAAACTCAGTCATAAAATAGAAAGAGTTCCAAACTGATAGTTAGGTTTTGGGTTCTGCTTCTGCCTCTGCCACTAATTAGCTGTCTCACCACACACATTTCATGTTGTATTGAAACTTAACTGTTGTAAGATATGGAGGTGATCTCTTAAGCACTTTGCAGTTTCAGAAAACTTCGATGTTGTGACTTTGCTCTTTAAAGATTCTGATGTCACTTATGTTTGAAAACTGTGTGATTGAATTAGAAGTATTATCTTTTAATTTCGACTCTACATACATGAAAATGAAAGTACTTTTTTTTAACACAAAAGGGAAGTTAATTTGCGTTACTTAATGCAGTTAATATTACCTAAATTGTTGAACTTAAGCTTTCCTACTTTAAGTGCCTTTAAAAGTGTTTTTATTTGAAATATAAAATGTAAAGGAAATTTTTGTGTAGTTCTATACAGTTTCTTTTTTATTATATACTTTTGAGTTATTTACAGCACTTTTTTTAAGCCTTAGAGTGTGCAGAGCAGTATATTCATGGATTCTTCACTGTTCTACTAATGAGTCCTTGGGAAATGTATGTTAAAAGTTAGCTCAGTGAGCAGGTAAGTAAATGCTCTCTGTCTTGGGTGGGCAATAAATCTTTATACAGAATAGGGTAAAGGACATTCAGATTCCAGTGTTTATATTTAGCTATTCCAATAGAGACAGTAGATGTCCTGAGTTAGTTAATGGTTATTGTTGCAAATCTCAAATTTTTCTTCAGTTCATTACCCTAGATTAGTGTTTTTGTGTAAAGGGCCACATAGTAAATATTTTGGGTTTTGCAGGCCATATGGTCTCTTCCCAACTATTCACCTTTGCTATTGTAACACAAAAGCAGCCATAGACAATGTATAAATGAGTGAGTGTGGCTGTGTTTCTCTCAAACTTTATTTACACAAAATGATGGTGAATTGGATTTGGTCCACAGGACATTATTTGTTGTCCCTTGTCCTGTAGTTCACTTGTAGTTCAAATTACTGGCTAGTTACTGCAACAAATGGTTGTAAGTTTCTGCCATTCCAGGTCTCTCTTAATTTGATACAGTCTGGTTAGTTGGGTTTGAGTGTCATTTAGGATTATAAAGGTAAGTAAGAAGTGGGTAAGGGAAACTGGGAACTCTTAGGAACTAGTGTTAAGGCACTTTGAAGCTCTTTTATTTGCTGGAGCCCATTAGGAGGTTTGCTTTGCTGCCAGAAATTAATCGAAAAAGTGATGAGTGGAGTTTGTGATTGGTTACCAAAAACTATATAAATTATTCTAAACACTTGGCTACTTAGATGGTAATAGAGGATGGAACAGATGAAAGCCTTTTTACCTGAGTACCCTAGGATGCTAGACCAAACTTAAGAAAGATTGTGAAATGTGAGACTTTATTTTGCCATATAAAGAAAGACTTTTGGGGGAAAAAACTACCATCTACGATCACCGTTGCTTTAAGACCCTCTCAGACTGGCCCAATATTTAGGAAGGACAAAAACTCAGAATAGAAGAGAGTTCTTTAACTTGAATAACTTTAAATCGATGTGAAAATCACTATTTTTTTTTTCTCATTTACTTTGAATCACTGAAAACGTCATTAAGGAGCAGTATTGATCCATAGACTGACTAGAGTTGTAGAAGTGCCGTGATACAGTTGCTGACAGACCTAATGTTATAAAAATTATTATTCATTAGGGGATGTAATAAACCACATGCACTCTGATATTCAGAGTACAACTTTATATTATTGTGTTAAATTGCAAGTGCTACACATATCAAGAGGGACATTATGTACTATTAGTGTGCATAGGGAGTCAGCCAGGATGCTGAAAGGCCTGAGTGCTGTGGAGAGTAGGATGCAAAGAAATTGGTGATAGTTACTTTGGAGAAAATAAGTTTGAAGAGGGAGTTTTCTTCAGATATTTGAGTGACTGCCACATGTGAGAAGGAATAGAATTGTTCTATATTCTAGATGGAAAAGTTAATTGTAAGAAATGTAAGTTTCTGCTTCCACATTTAATGTTCTGTATGAGAATTTCTAAATGAAAATCGACTCTGTCCTCAAAGTGGTTCTCAAAGTCAGATCCCTAGACCAGCACAGCATCACCTGGGTATGTTACCTGTGTAGACCTAAAATTATAGATCAGCAAGCTGAAAAAAGCTAATGGAATCAGTACAGATTACTTCATTTGTATAAAACTGTTAAGGGAAATCATCTTTTTTGAGGGAGAGGTAATTAGGTTTATTTTTTAATGGAGGTACTGGGGATCAAACCCAGGACCTTGTACACACTAAGTAGTCTACCACTGAGCTGTACCCTCCCCTCCAAGGGAAATCGTTTTTAAAATGAAAACCGATTTTGATCATTTAACACTAACTTTCAACAAAGAAATTGTAAGTTTATGATTGTTACCTAATTGTTAGTGGGAGTGACGTAGCTTTTCTAAACAGAGGTGCTTCTTAAATCTAAAACAGCCATATCAATAGCAGGAAAGGATATTGAGGGAGCTTGCTCTATTTATACCTGTTAATGTCAAAATACTGGGAGGGGAGCCAAGAACAGCTGACAGATAAGTTTCCTCTGTCCTTTGCCTGTTTTCCTGCCATGTAAAACTGAGTGGCATGGCACAGTTATCACACTGACCATATGTTTGGTAGAAGTACTACTAGTAACTGGGACCTTTGCCTTTGTAAAGTCACTGTTGTGGATGGGGTTTATTCGCCTATTGTGAATGCTGGGTATGCTCTGTCTGTGGGTACTCTAAAGAACCTTAGAGTTTCTGATTGTCATTTATTTGTTCAAGGATTCTCCAGTGGTCCCAGAGTGGTTTGTACCTAGGGTGTATCACGTTTACAGTGTTTATATGTGTTTAATTCTAATGCAAGGTTTTGGCCATCACACTATAAAAATAATGGAAGAAAACTTAAAGGCAGTTCCCCTGATTTTGAAAGCCATAATATGCAATTGGTTTTCCATTATAAATTGTAAATTATATTCAAATGCATATTTCATACTTTGTAAAGTGAGATTTGTAACTTTGCTAGATGTAGTCCTAGTTTTTTCCTGTCATGCTAATAAGGAAACCAAAGAAGCTACTGAAGGCCAAGTGTATTCAGCTATGAGTAAGACCTGAGTTCTGGTCTTTAAATCTGCCAATGTAAACTTTGGACAATATTTAAATTTTTCTGACCACAATAGTCTCTGAATTACTTACTGAATGTGATGTTATATACATTTAAGGAGAAAATATTCAAACAAGATGAAAACTGACAAAACTAGAATGATATGTGAATGACATAAATGACAGACTGAATTTTGTGAGCTTTTAAAGTAAATACTTAGGCCCTTGAACTAGATTTAATAAAAATATTTTACCTTAACAATTTTATAAATGGAAGTTTTTTTCTAAGAAGTTTTTATTTCCATTTAAAATTTATCCATTTGAATCTAGCACATAATAGACTTCAGTTGGCATTTGTTCAACTGATAAATTGAATTTTAAAGCAAGAAGGACAAAAGGCAATCTTCATTATGAAGTGTTTTTTTAAAGGACAGGAAAGCATAAATCTTTCAGTAGGAAACAAATTTTAATTGGCTTTTTATATTTTCAGTTTTTTTTAACATTTTTTATTGATTTATAATCATTTTACAATGTTGTGTCAAATTTCCAGTCTTCAGCACAATTTTTCAGTCATTCATGGACATATACACACTCATTGTCAC